TTAATATGGGGCCCTACCCCCATAAAACATAAACATAAAAGAGCAGAAAAAAGTGAGGATTCCACTTGGTTTATATCAGTTGGGGGCCCCCCTGGAGGGCGGGGCCCGTTTCAATTGAAACAGTTGAAACGTAGGTAAGGCCGCCACTGCCTATGGCAGAAACAATTGGCCTAAAATTTTCAATGTCATGTTGAAGACGACAAGAGTGTTCCTCAGAGTGGCTCCACTCCTCCCCTCACTCACTCCAAGAGATATCCTCTTGCGTAACTGTGATGATATATGGGTATTACCAATACTACACAACCCAGAAAGCCAGTGGTGTTAAAGATCTGGCATGGATGTCATGGGAGTCGGGGACATGAGTAGGACAAGTGCAAGTTCAGTGCTAATGTGGCTCCACCATAAGTATTAATAACACTGTCATTTTAAAATATTTTCCCCTGGCACTCAGATGTTGATTTTCATGACAGTGACATGCTTGCTGTGTCATCTGAGGTGTTCATTCCAACCAAGGGATTACATAAAGTGTAACACTTGAGTGAGAACCAGTTTAAAGTTGAAGGTATATATTGAGTGTTACCAACTAAATATTGGCTACTTAGTATACACTAAAGAGCCATGACCTTTACCCATAATAGATATTCCAGATATTCAGCTATGGTAGAGTAGGCATGGCTCAGTGCCTGTGACCACTTGTGTGGATGTCTTGTGTATTTTTTCTATATAATGGCAACATGAAGATACTGTTGTTATTTTGGGGAACTGCTTAATCAGTGAGTGAGTGAATGGGTGGGGAAAGCTACATTTCACAAGGCTGCCAAGTCATTGCAAGGAAAAAATCACAACATTATTCATCTAGACCGCACTGTTTAGAGAGGCAGCTTTGACCTCCCTTAGCAGAGGTTTAAGGTCTCAAAACGAGGCTGGCAGGTAGTAGTGTAGTAGTCTACTGGAACAGTCCAAGCTCCTTTAATGATATTATAAAAGTCCTACCATTTCATTGCACAGCTGTTGGTTCTAAAAAATAACGACGAAGCAAGCGTTTTGGTCATATTTTTATTTGTATTATTAACTTGCGGATGCTGTTCCTTTAGCCAAGGACTTCATTTCCCTTCTCAATATGGCGCTGCAGCTATTCCACGGGGGACCGTATGCCGTTTTGTAACTCTCGGACCTTCTCGATTTATCACTGTCGCCTGATCAGTGGTGACGAGTTCTTCAGAGAGTTAACTCGAAGGGTCTCTTAAAATGTTGGCTGCACGGAGAGCTCTGCAGTTTGGTCTCAGGGTAGCCACGGCGTCGACACGTGGCTGTGCTGGTTCCGCTGTGGCGGTGGACGATGTTGTGAACGGGCTGACCGAAGAGCAGATACAGGTAGATAGCTCGCTAGCGCTCTATACCAAACTTAAGGTAACTTAGCCTGGCTAGCATACTGAGCAACTAGAGATGATGTCTAAAACAGTAACAACAGCAAAGTATAGAGCGCTAGTTGCCGTATATAGTCAGTTCAAAGTCAAAATCAACAAAGCTACAAACTGAACACATCTTACTAAGATGTTCTGGCTATCTAGCGTTAGCCATCTATCTGTCGGTGGGCCTGGAGGTATGCCAGTCGGCGTCAGCTTTGCACTATAGCTTGCCAGAGGTATTGAGATATACAGTATTGTAATTACTGGAAATTGGCATTTTAATGTAGAGACGTAGTTATCAGTTTTCTTCCCGTATAGCGGCACTGAAAGTAAGTGTACTTAGCAAACGTTAGCCTTCAAGGTTCGCTTACTAGCATACTGTTAGCTAGACCAGCGATTTTATTATTGCAACATGTCTGGTAAGGCTTGCTAATTCGCTACTTCAGCCACGACTGATACAAACTTTAGTGTTAATGACAAGCCTTGCAGCTTCATGAGAATCATCATAGCGTCTCCTGAAATGACCTTGCCAAATGCAGCAGCAAGACTATCTCATTTTTGGTATAGAAAACGTACTACTTGGCTAACATTAACTTAATAACTGTTCAGTTGTTAGTCTAGTTTCGTAAACGTAAGCTTTTTACACAATATTCCTCACTTCGGATGTACCAGCTAGCTAATTGACTGTCGCTCCGTTTCTTAATGACCATTTAAGTGTGAAAGGAGTGTTCCTGTAGATAAGAGGACAGTCTTGGTTTTGAAGGGTTAACCCATTGCAACCGACATCTCTTATTACACAGTTGGAAATCTGACGGAACATCCCTTTCAACGGTGACACCATTTTAACCCTTTACCAAAAAGAATCCGGGCAAGCTTTCGATAGCCACCCCTTTCAGCGGAGATACCATTTTAAGTCGTGCGACCGCTGAAAGGGGTGGCTATCGAAAGCTTGCCCGGATTGGTCAAAAGCCTATGTGACGTAAATCACGGGTTCGTCAAGTTCTGTGTGGTAAACGTAACCTTTGATATTGAAAGGTAGAGTGCCCTCTTAGCTGTGGGATCGGAGTTAAGTGCAAACGATCTTGTATATTACCATCTTGTATATTATGATACTTATCTTAAACTCCCCATCGGCAGTCATTCTCACATACACATGTGTGGTATTAAGTACATTTTAACAAGGAGGACAAGTGAGCACTGGGTTTCAGCTGGTCCTTTTATAATGAACATTGTGAGATGATAATATGAAGACTTTTGAACTCCTGATGTGGGCTGACAAAAATTATCAGCAAAATGACTTGCAATGAAATGAGTAGGTCAGTCTGTTTTACTGAGGTGTCAGAGCAGTTATTTCCACTTCTGTCATGTTTAACGTTCCTTCTTTCTTGCAAGGTGAGCACCAACAGAATACTTAAGTTCCAAACATTATTTAAAAATGTGCGAACGTAAGCGGCCATTAATGTGTACATAGTGGGACATAGTATAGCTGGGTGGAGCACACGCACAATGTATAACAATAAACAAAGAGGGCAGACCTCCTCTTAATTTTATCATTTTCACAGAAAACTCATAGCAGAATTGGAGGAGATGGAGAGGTTTGGCCTAGTTATTTTCTGTATGGTACTTGTAAGGTTGTGATTATGAACCTTTGTTTTTGTCCTGTTGTAAAAATAATAATCTGTAAGATTTAGCAGAGAAAACCAATAACTGTTAAACTATCAAGCAGTGGTTTTCTGAAGAACCATAGTGCAGGATTGCATTATATTTACAGTTCTTTAACCCCATGCTTGTGTATGGATGATTTCATTAGATAGAACATAAAATATACCGAATAGGTGACCATGGGATCACCACTTAGTTTTGTTTATCAGTCATTTTTTCTTATTTTTCTTCACTGGTAGTTGTTAATGAACAACAAAAATCTTTTCATATCATATAGTATATGAAGTATTTTTTCATAAGTATTCATCACAGAGAACATAAGAACCTTGACAAAAATGGATGGATTGATGAGGTTATCTTACAGCATTGATCCTCCTGCCTGAAAAAGTATGTTTATGCTGTTTTTTTTTTTTTGGCAGAGTCATTGTTTACACAAAAGCAATGTTGTTTCATAGCGCTCTCCATACAAAGGCACATCCCTAGAGAGAACTGATGTGTGAACTCGGGCCTGTTTCCTCCAGCTCAGACAGACAGTCCAGAGGTTCTGTCAGGAGCAGCTGGCCCCTTACGCAGATGACATTGACAAGACCAATGAGTTCAAAGGGATGCGGGTAAGCTAATAGAGCTAGTGGAGGTACACAAGCAAGCAGGACCTTACCTTTAAACTGCTAATGGCCCTCAGCCTTCCTTGTTTTTTGTACACTTACCACACTTTTCAGATTTTAGTAAGGATGCCCCTTTAGCAGCATATTCATTTTAACTTAATATTGTCTGATTTGGTGGCATAAAAATTAGTTTGAAATTGACATGCTGTTTTACTCCCCAAAAACTTAATGTTCCATACTTTTTGTACGGGATCTTTGGTTCAGTCCAGAATCTGAAAGAAACTTTATACGTGCTTGTACATTCTGAATCTTTTCAAGTGTGATAGCATTACTCACTCATCGCTGGGCTCGGTTCTTACAGTGTTTTGGGTGACACTTGCAGGGGTTTGAACCTCACAGTGTCCTGCTGGCACTCTAGCATAATGGCTGCAGCGATGTGATGGTTGAACAGTCAAATTGAATCATTGAGTGATGGACACTGAAAATGAGGAGCCTGTGGCCCATGCCAGGTTTAAACACTTGGCTCTGTGCTGCCCTAAGCACTTCTGTGAAACTTTGTTGAATAGCTAGGCAACAAATCCTATACAAACAAATGTTCTGGGTTGCATCACTATTGCATGTTTATTCTGGTTTATATGTTGACACAGGAGTTTTGGAGGAAGTTGGGGAATCTGGGAGTCCTGGGGATCACTGCTCCAGGTGAGAATGTCATCATGATCTGTTCATCCATGCTGGTTATCAGATCAACATCATTTATGCTTGCACTGCATAGTGCTGGTTGTATTCCAGCCCATCAGATTTGGAGATGAACTGCAGCAGAGATTAATCAAAGGGCATTTTTAATTGCAGAGCCCCTGTGGATAAACACTGGGGAACGGGTGTGTCACCTTAGTGCAGTGATGCCCCATTTGGTTCATCCTTGCTTCCCAACTTTCCTCTCTGAGATTTTTAAATAATGACATTTTTGATCCAGGTTTGTCAAGCTGCTGTGTATCTTGGTAAATGTGGGTGCCTAAAATTTAAACTGAATTATGTGAAAAAGTTGAGAATTTAAGTCCAAAGGTACATTTCACATTTAAGTTTTTTGAAGTTTTCACATGCAAGAGCTCTGCATGGGAGCAGCTCCCCCACTCAAGCAATTTGAGTGCGTTCTGGTTGTATCATGGACCACGACCACGATTCGTGGTACATTACATTATTGTCATTTACCAGATGCAGGTTACAATTAGGTTACATACATTACAGTTTTATCCATTTACACAGCTGGATATGTTACTGAGGCAATTGTTGTTTAAGTACCTTGCCCAAGGGTGCATCAGTGGTGCCGCAGTAGGGACTTGAACCACCAACATTTGGGTTTTGAGCCCTGCTCATTACCACTATGCCACACTGCTGCCCATGTCTACAAAACATTGACAAACGGGGAAATCCTATCATTTTACAGTTTCCAGACTGGTCATCGGAAGACTACTGTAATTTTTGGTTCCCAAAAAAGGGGGCTTGAAGTCTATACCAGGCAAGGCTGAAGAGGCTGTGTGTGTCCCTCTGTCAGTGGGTTAACCTGAAGGAAACCAGAGTGAGGAGGCCAACTTTGACTGAGTGTGAAACCATTTACAGTGTGTGCATGCGATGATGTGGTTTCCCCGAAGATCTTTAAAGTTCAGGTGGGGTTCCATTTATATTTATTTTGAATGGTAGTGTGACGGAGTGCCGTCACTACAGTTGAGTATGTGCTTTGACTGCCATACCAACGAACCTGGCTCTTTGGCGTCGCGGTCAAAGTCGCATGTTTGGTACCCTGTAGACCCGCGTTCAAGGCTGGGTGGGGTGACTGCTCTCGCCCTTCGCTACAAATGGTGTCAGAAGTGGGATGGCTTGCTGCAAGGCCATTGGAGGCATGCCCGGTGTGTGAGCCATATGAGGGACCCCCAGGTTAGGTTGACCCCGGTGTGAGGGACCCCAGAGATGGGTGAAGCACAGTGTGAGGGACCCCAGAGATGGGTGAAGCACGAGTGAGTGGGGCACCCTGGGATGGGAGAAGTACGGGGGGAATGTGTGAGGGATGCCACTGTGCGTGAAGCGCATGGGCGCGCTTCCCGAAGGGGAGGGCAGTGTGACGGAGTGCTGTCACTACAGTTGAGTATGTGCTTTGACTGCCATACCAACGAGCCTGGCTCTTTGGCGTCGCGGTCAAAGTCGCATGTTTGGTACCCTGTAGACCCGGGTTCAAGGCCGGGTGGGGTGACTGCTCTCGCCCTTCGCTACAGGTAGTTTTGAGGTGTTTTTTTCCCCAGAGACGCCACTGACCTGCTTTAAGAGTGCTGTACGTTAGACTGTTTGTTCTTCACATTTGTTATCGTGCAATAATGTGGTATGCTAATTGTATTGTATGTTTGATGATGAGAACAGGATTGAATGTAAATATAAATGTTGCTTGACTGTAGGGCTGTACCCGACTCAGAATTTTGTCAGTCGAATCGACGATTCGACTATTTGTTCCTTTTTCTTCATATTGACTATCTGGCTATCAGAAAATCCATTGGCATGAGTTTCAGTGATGATTCCGACCACATTAACATAGTCAAATGCAACAGAGTCATGGGAACATATTTTTGAGCATTTAACCCTTTTGTGCGTACGGTCACACCGGTGTGATTAGCTGTTTAGCGCATATGCTAAAACCGGTGCAGTTAGAATACTAGATTGGAAAAATTCTAGCTAATTTTAGCTTTGAGGAAACAGCGATTTAACATTAAAAAATATAGCAAATGCTAACTGAAAGCTATGAGAAGCTTAATAACGCTAATGAAAACAAAACGAACCATGTTATGTAACACGTGCGCTACATAGAATAAAAAATAAATTGCGTGCGAAAGGGTCAAATTAGCCTTGTAAATAGACTTATTGCCTGCATTCAGTGGTGTACTGGCCATTGGGCATACCAGGACAAATCCCAGTGGGCTGCCACATCGGTGGGCCGGTGGACAGTCAAAAAATCGATAAAGTTTTTACCGGCCCTCTCTGTGTGCCTATCATCTGCTGTAATGGTTCAGTTGGGAGGACTGAGAAATGAACGTTTATTTCAATGACAAGATACCATAATTTCATGAATGCTTTCACTGTTAAGGCATGTTGCACAGCAAGTTTTCAGTGACACACGTTTGTATGTAATTCTTTACTTCGACACTGACAAAGGCACATCACGATTAGTTTTCAGAGCTTAGTTGCTTAAGCTTACCAACAACGCGCTCATCTAAACTAAGTAAAATATTGCATTGTCACCGCTGTTTTTTTAATTAACGCTAAATAAAATGAGACAAGTTGTCAATGTTAGCTGTGTGCCGTTATCAAGGCAAGCAAGCTAGCTGACTACCTAGCGGGTTAAAGGGAACTTTAGGACTGCTGATGTACCTAGCTAGCTAGCTAGCTGCATTGAACGCGATGATATAAAACTTGCTACTTGACGTATATTCAGAAGAATTAGTAAATCTGCAGAGGTTAATTGCAGAATGGCCGCTTAGCTATGCAACTTACCTGTTTAAAGTGGTTTGCCTTTGCCAACTTCCACCGTACTTTAGACTTCTGAGACATGGTTATAGCTAGCCTAGTTTACCAACCACTCCACCTCAGGTTTCAGCTTCTCTCATCAGTTAACCACCAGCGCATGTTGTCATGTGGATTTTTTTTTAGCAAGCACGCCCTGTCCCTGTGCATTTTGTAAGCTTCTATCTGTTTTATTCTGTTATTGTAATGCACACTGACTGACAAAAAAAAGGACTGCTGGACTTGTAGAATCTCAGTCGACTGATGGGTCTCCGACAGATGATTTGACTTGTCGACTTTCAGGGGGCAGCCCTACTCATTAATGTTAGGGACTGTAAGACTCATGTTGTGTAAGAAACAAAAATACTGAATGCTTTGGAACGTGATTCATTGTTAAGGCCAAAACATATTCTTGTTAGGTCGAATCTGATCTGATTAACTTCTCTCGACCTCAAGATGGAATTAATTTTTTCAGTGTCCTTCAACCCAACCTTCATGACCTTAACATTCAATACAAATGCTTTCAGGCACTGTGTTAAAGAGCATTTCCCTGCTTATGTTTATGTTCATATTGATTTAGCAAGCATTTGTTTATGCTTGGTGTGTGTCAGATATGCTTAAACACACATGGCCTATGTTTCATTAGCAACTTTCACACACAAGCTGATTTAAATTCTAATGTTAGGTGATGATGGTAAAGATAACATGTTAATTAAGAGGTTATCCATAAATGACCATTTGTAAGTTATAATGGGATGACATAATGGGGAGCAGTGTGGTGTAGTAGTAAGAAGCAGGGCTGGTAGCTGGTTAGATTCCCCACTGAGGCACTGCTGTTGTTCCCTCAGGTAGGACACCCACAATTGCCTCAGTAAATATCCAGATGTATAAGTGGATAACATTGTAACATGCATACATGTAAGCCGCTCTGGATGAGAGCATCTGATAAATGACGATAATGTAATATACGCACCCATGAGTATTTCATTTCCCATATTTTGTTCAGCCTTCGGCAAAGGGCTGTTTTTAAATAATACCACTGCTTTTTATTTTTCAGAAGATACTCTTATCCAAAGTAACTGGTATAAGGCAAACTTTTACATAGATACTTATACAGACAGGTGTTTTTTTCAGTTGTTTTTTGCAGGTCTGGTTAAGTATTTGTCTTACACTAGCAGTTCTCCATCTGGGCATCAGAACACTGCAGCACACTGCCATCTTCATGTCTACATCATTGCAGGCAGAGAATTGGAAGTGCTCTTCTACCCCCGAGTGAAACCCCTCAGGCCAGAGCAGAAGCAGGCAACATACGTTTACCTGTCTACTGTAATGTAATGTATTGAGGGGTTTATTGAAACCAATGACAGTGTCACTCTCATATATATATTGAGTTCCATTGAAGCTTTCATCTTCTGTTCTGCCCTAATTCGGGCCCTCTCCTTCATTTTCATTTGGAGTAAGGTACAGGCCATTCCTTGTAGTTATTCTTGTTGAGGTTCTGTGCTCCTTTCCGATGTCATTCTTTCATTTCCTAATTAGAAATGCTCAGGCATGAGGTATTCAGTCGGGTTGGAAGTGGTTTTCAAAAGGCTGCACTGATTTCATCTGTAGAACTGACCTTTCCACACAAGGCAGTAATTCCATCTCCTGAACATTTTCTTGGAATATTAGATCACTGTAAAAGTTAAACAAGTGGTAGAGATGGAGTGCACAGTTTACATATGTAATATGATATATTTGTGATGAAAGGAGGCCTGACAGCTTTGCTTTGCTTATTTGGCAGTGGAGGTGGGTGGCTCGGGACTTGGGTATCTGGATCATGTGATTGTCATGGAGGAGATGTCAAGGGTGTCTGCGGCTGTGGCGCTCAGCTACGGGGCGCACTCCAACCTCTGCGTGAATCAGCTGGTGCGCCATGGCAACCAGGCGCAAAAGGAGAAGTACATGCCCAAGGTTTGAGCTGTCCCTCAGGCTGACAGACATCAGCACATGCAGGGACCACACTGACATGCAGATGCACATATTGAGGAGACAGGGGGACATCTCTCTATCTGTCTTATCTATATATATCTGGCTATCTTTCTGTGCAGATTCCACACTCACATATGGACAGACAACTGCACATGCAGGCCCACACTTGCATGCAGATTCAGACACTGAGGAGAAAGACAGGCTTGTGCACTTTCACGCATGCACAGCAGACAAACACAGGGCCACACAGATTGTTGTGGAGGCAGGCAAGCTGACAGTTTTTTTTTTAAATTTTTTTTACCATGCACACCGATCTGTAAAGAGAAAATCCAGTCACTCACAGGCCATGGGTGTAATTTGGCAGAAAGGGCCTGTTAATACAATGGATAATTCATTCAGTGAAACAATGCTGAAAAGTGCATTTTTGTATCTTAATGCTCATATGTTTAAAGAGGTGCACTCACTGATGGGTGCATGTTTCTATCACAGCTGATGACAGGGGAGCATGTAGGTGCTCTGGCCATGAGTGAGCCTAATGCAGGCTCCGACGTGGTGTCCATGAAGCTGAAGGCCAAGAAGGAAGGTAAGCCATGGTGGCTGCAGTGCAGCAGCCCCTCCCCTCAGCAATATTAAAGGACTTAAAGGTCACAAAGCTGTTCACAGAGCACCACTCATAAAAGGAATGCAGGTTTATACAGTCTTAATCTAAGACAGGTGTTACAAAGAACGATGTTACCGAGGGTTATAGACACGTCATCTTACAGTGGGCCAGTTGCTAAATAGAATTTATGGAAAATATGTGACAAACTTGGCCTTCTTTCTACCAGGACAGCACCAGTGGGGCACCTTCGAGGTGAAACAAGGTGCAACGGAAAGCCAC